CGCAACTTGGTCTTGTTGTCAGGGCGACTTAGTAAAACGCACCTATTCCGAAGTCGTCTGCCATAGTAGTTGTCAAGATTCCCAGCATCAGACAGTGTACTTGGTACACTCTCAAAAGTTTCGCCAGGATCATAGTCAGCATCATCAATGATTTTTGTCATTCTTCGCACCAAGCTAAGAATTCGTTAAAAAGACAAGTGAAGGCAATCCTTCCACCAACGTACTGCCAAAAACGGTTTCACTATCACTCCAATTTCTGTACTGGCCTATCTATCTAATGTTTAACCTCTCATCAAACTCCCGCTTTATCACAACATCTCACTTGTTTACATTCCACTCGTCAAAATGTGTGCCCTTTTGTGGCAAATCCAGTGTGGCCTCATCACACCTGAAATTCACCCCGACCCCCTATCTTTCGACCGGCTAATTCGACTTGGGCCTCCAACCCGGATCGCCTTATGATCCCGTGGATCCGTTCCTTATCTTTCTGGCTGACCGATTTCACTCGGTTCCAGTCCCAGTGGGCATTTGACTCCAGGCGCTACGTCTGAACGACTTAGAAGCACGTACTCTACCGCCTCACTGAGCAGAGCGCCTAGGCTCTAATTCCCATGCATGCAGATATTAGGCAATGCATCCACGGGGCGTCTCCTTGATTAAACCCGTGAAACCTGAGCAAACTGTGGATTCATATCTATGCTTGCGTGTGGCATCGTTTGGTTGGCCATTGATGAGGAAGATCCTTGTTAATTTGTCCAGCTCCTCGTCCCACTAATCGGCATCGGTTAGGCTTAGGCTTAGGATGATCATGCTCCTCATTATTTCTTTCTTTCACATGTAATTGGGATGGGACCGAAAATGGAGTATTATCCCAGCAAAGGACTTCCTTCTGAACATTTTCTTTTTGAGCCTCTTATTAGAGCGAATCACTTCAACGTCCATGAACGGTAACGGTTCACCTTGCTCTACTTCCATCGTGAATTGAATTTATTCATCAATCTGGTTTACAAACTTCAGAAACCCTTCCAGTTTTTCACTTCCTTGTGACCAAAGTGTGAAGTAATCATTCTGGGTCCGCATGAGCACTGCCGGTTGTAGCGGCGCCATCTTGAAGTTCGCTTCTATTTTGTTCATGTATACGCTTGCCAAAAGTGTTGAGAGTGGGAAGTCAAAATATTTGTTCATAGATGTTCCCGCTGAATGCAAAATTGTCAAATTGATTAGTCTTGTTAACGACAACATCCTAATCCGTTGTGATTCCAGGATTTCCAGCAAGGCCGTTAGAGCATTTTCTCCGGATATATTTATATGCATGGATTCCAGATCGAAACTTATCAATAAGTCCGTTTCTTCCAGTTCCATGTTTTTGATTTTTTGAGAAAATTCATATGAATTTTTCACTGTGTTCGATAGCCTCTCATTTAATTTCTTGAGTTTCAAAAATATAAACTTTGCCAAATTGTATGTTGCTCCAATACTTGTTGTTGACTATCAGCCTTAGTGGCTCGCCTTTCTTGTGCATCTTCGGTAATCTGTAAGCTATTGGTGGTCGTGCATCCTTTCTTATGATTGAATTTGCTGTCAATGCGTCAATTTCCCCGTTCCTATGCATATCTTTCAGCATGGCACTTAAGATTCCATTGATCTTCATAGTTGGGTCCTTGTTTAGTATACGATATGTGCTCGTGTCTCTTAGATCATGTTCCATCTTCTCGGTATATTGTTTATGTCCACTATCACTGTAGCTCCTCCTTTATACGACTGAAGGACTAATTGTTCATTCGTTTCCAGGGTCATGCGTATCCTAGCAAATCTATTACTGTGTATCGGTCCTTGATGTGTCACTATCTTTGGAATTAGTTCAATCTCTATTTCCCGGATGCCAGGAAGATTAACGAAGCCAATGACATTCTTGGGGAGACTAATTTAATGAACAGGAGATCGGAGGAAGGAAGAGTTAGTCATAACTCTGCCTACTGCTTAAGCAAACAAGAGGAAAACAAGAATACAGAAAGACCAGCAAAAAAGAGATATCTGAATCAGGTATTTATCGCTAACTGGAGGAAAAGGGGTCGCTATAAGAAAAGGGGATGGGGATTTTCGGCAATTAAGTTAAGATGTTGCCAGTGAGTGATGTATGTTGCGAATAAACCCGTACAACTTTGGGGGCCTGGTAGTCAGGGCGCTAGGCGGATGGATAAGCAAACAGTCACAGAAATTCGGCATAATGGCCAAAATGTACTGCAAATCCATTTGAGATGCCTCATGCGATCAGAGATAGACGCTTACAGTTTGCTCAGATAACATGGGTTTAATCAAGGAAACGAACCGTGAAGGCAATGCCTGATATCTGCAAGCATGGGAATCAGAGCCTAGGGGCTCTGCTCAGTGAGGCGGCAGTGTACGTGCTTCTAGGGCCTTGAGATATAGCGCCTGGAGTGAAATACACACTGGGACTTGAACCAAGTGAAATCGGTCAACCAGAAGGATAAGGAACGGATCTAGGGGACCATGAGGCGATCCGGATTGGAGACCCGAGTCGGATCAGCCGATCGAAAGATAGGAGCCGTGGTAAAAAGCAAGTGTGATGAGGCCACACTAGATTTGCCACAATAGGTCACATTTTAAAGAGTGGAATTTAAAAATGTGAGATGTTATATTAGAGCGGGAGATTGATGAGAGGGTAAAGAGTAGATAGATAGGTCAATACAGAAAAAGGAGTGATAGTGTAACCGTTTTCGGTAGTACGTTGGGGGAAGGATTGACTTCACTTGTCTCTAATACGAGTCCGTAACTTGGTGCGGAGAATGGCAAAACTTACTGACGATGCCAACTACGATGCTTGCGAATTGTTTGATAATGTACTAAGTCCACTGTCTGATGCTGGGAATTATGATAAATATTATGACTGTGGACTTTGAACTAGATGCGTTCTACTAAGTCACCTTGACAACAAGACCAAGTTGCGACAACGAGGTCAACCTACTTTGATAAATCAAAAGGAGACTGTGACCATACCAGAGGCCACACTATTTTAGTCTTCATATCTTTGATTAAGTTTAAAAGTTGCATGAACTTGATGATTTTATTCACATAGAGGATGAATCGGGTGTGGCGCCATCCTGGGTGCCGTCAGAATGTGTGGTACCAATTTATATTGGACTAGGCTGCATTAAAAATTCGCAATAGAAATAGGCATTCGACGAAATGTATGTTCTCAGCAGTTGAAAGTGAGTTCCAACAGATATCCTCCGATAGAATTGCTCTGACGGCATTCAGCTTGTGCAAATGGACAAAATTACCACATGATGGTAGTGGATTTTGCAAGCTCGGCTGTCGCTTGCTATTGAAATAAAATTCATGTTGACATAGTCCACAAGATTCCCTCAATTGGTTTCTGTGAAAATAAGCTGAGCTATCTTCTGTCGTGTAACGGATATCGGAAGAGCTATAACTCAGACAAAAGCATCAAACTAAATCTTTGATAATAAAACTGATCAGTTTTTTCTTACATGCTGTGCAAGTCCCAAAAAATAATAGTTGAATACAATTATGTTGAGGACGATTTGTTAATTTGCTTTCATGTAAACTAGAGTAGCTGATGATTAAGTGTATTTGTGCGTGTCTACTAGTTAGCATTTTAAGGTCTTAAAGTTATTATTGTGCGTAACTTTAGTCTTATATCATCAAAGTTTAATAAAAGTTGTTTGACCTTGTTTTCAAAACTTGGTCATATTGGTAGGAAGAGACAAATGAAGCTGATCCTTTGACCAAATGTGTGTTAAACAATTGTGGTATTTTTCCTTCTGTCGTGGGCTATTCACCTCTCCTATATTCTCGTATCACGCCTTCATTATCACAATTTTTCCTCTATAGTAATGGTGTTACCTTTTGAGCGGTTTTCATAAGGATCCTCAACACTCCACGCTGGCGTTCTCACCCCCCTTCACCCTTGTGCTGGGAATGTTGATCAGAGTATGCCATATTGTTGCACAGTCCTTCTTCCCTAGGTCTTATCAGAGTCTCCCTCTTGCCTCGTAGGATCTGTCTGCTATCTGCCTTGTTCAAGTATTTTATTCGACCCCTGCTATCTCATCTGTGCTCCACGAGGCGTCATTTCCCACGCATATAGATTCCTGCTCATTAAGGAGATATTATTATAAATTAAGGGTAATAATTATTCAGGAATAAAACTTTCAATCTTCTTACCCCTTATTTGAGATGATCTTAATATATAATTGTTGAGCTAACTTCAATTTCGAGTGAAAGTGTCGGATGAAGAGATACGAAGGTCGGTTCCACCAGAAGACGACGGCGAATTCCTCTTGAAGAGCTGTTGATTGGCTTTACTGGAAGATTCATGCTGACGCTGTTTCCGAAGTAATCTCCTTGATTCCGGTGAAAAGGTGCTAATCTTTCCTCCGTCATATAAAGGACATCATCAGAGCGAGGTATCATCGTCACAACCAAATTCAAGCTAACGAGTCAATAAAACTCACCGGCAGATCCCTAAAAAGTGGTATATATACTCTATATCTGGCCTCTTTGATCAAGTATACAGTGATTTGGTTAGTTAAGGTCATATGTCAAACTCAAAGCCTGTGAGTGTGCCTGTCTCTGTATGTGCATGTCTCCGTTTGTGTTCGATTATGCACGAAACCCGCAGTAATGGCTGAAAGTAATTAGGTCTGCAAAAGTAATTTCTGTTCTCCGCCAACAAAGTTTGATGACCACTATCTCCCCCTTTCTACAAATATTTTATAACCATCACTTCGATTGCGCAAGGTCGGACACACATCTTCTTATGTTGATGAGCCTTTTTGTTTTTGGTCTTCATGCAAGGGAGAAAGAGTACAAAGAAGTACAAAGAAGTGAGTATGCTTAGAACCAAGATAAGGAAATACTAGTTGAATAGCCTTCTTTTTACAGGCGGCTCAACACCCTCTCTATCCTTGAGTCTATTAATTAGGCACAAGTAATTTTTACTCATCTTTTTGCCGGTATTCCTTACATTTTATGTATTTCCTTTAAGATTTATTTCGATGGCTTCTCTAATTTTACGTTTAGCCGCAGACATACCATAATTATTTTTCATATGTAAGTAGAGTTTCGAGACTACTAGTAAATGAGTAATACGAGATGTATTAACCCTATTGCGTTTAAGGTGATGAAGGACTGGTAGTAAAATTTTCCCACATTGATATGAGTTGAGCTGACGTTTCCATTGAAATTTACATAGCCTTGCTTTCCCAAAAATTGTTATCATTCAGGGTGGATTGCAGTTTTGACCTCGCATAGATCTTGTCAACATTGTCCTGTGACCAAAGGGCACTCGTGGCAATGTGGCCGAGTGGCTAACGTGTGAAGCACACATTCTCCACTGACACGATTCGACTCCCGCTGAGGGTGTTGACAAGACCTATGCGAGGTCAAAACTGCAGTCCACCCTGGATGAGAACAACTTTTGGGAAAGCAAGGCTATGTGAAATTAAATGGAAACGTCAGCTCTACTCATATCATTGTGGAAA